ATAGTCATAGTCTAGTATATAGTCTAGTCTTTATTCTTCTATAGTCTAGTCTATAGTCTAGTCTTGCTATAGTCTAGTTCAGTCTAGTCTATAGTCTAGACTATAGTCTATAGTTTTGCTATAGTCTAGTCTATAGTCAAGTCTATAGTGTAGCCTACATATAGTCTAGTCTATAGCCTATAGTCTAGCCTATAGTCTAGTCTATAGTCTAGTCTATAGTCTAGTGTATAGTCTAGTCTATAGTCTAGTCTACAGTCTAGTCCTATAGTATAGTCTATAGTCTAGTCTATATTCTAGTCTATAGTCTAGTCTATAGTCTAGTCTATAGTCTAGTCTATAGTCTAGTCTATAGTCTAGTCTATAGTCTAGTCTATAGTCTAGTCTATATCAGTCTATAGTCTAGTCTATAGTCTAGTCTATAGTCTATAGTCTAGTCTATAGTGTAGTCTATAGTCTAGTCTATAGTCTAGTCTATAGTCTACTCTATAGTCTAGTATGTAGTCTAGTCTATAGTCTAGTCTTTAGTCTAGTCTATAGTCTAGTCTATAGACTAGTCTATAGTAGTCTATAGTCTAGTCTAGTCCTAGTATAGTCTATAGTCTAGTCTATAGTCTAGTCTATAGTCTAGTCTATAGTCTAGTCTATAGTCAAGTCTATAGTCTATAGACTATAGACTACACTATAGTCTAGACTATAGTCTAGACTATAGACTAGACTATAGACTAGACTAGACTATAGACTAGACTATAGACTAGACTAGACTAGTCTATAGTCTAGTCTATAGTCTAGTCTATAGTCTAGTCTATAGTCTTGTCTATAGTCTAGTCAATAGTCTAGTCTATAGTCAAGTCTTAGTCTAGTCTATAGTCTAGTCTATAGTTTAGTCTATAGTCTAGTCTATAGTCTGTCTATAGTCTAGTCTATAGTCTAGTCTATAGTCTAGTCTATAGTCTAGTCTATAGTCTAGTCTATAGTCTAGTCTATAGTCGTCTATAGTCTAGTCTATAGTCTAGTCTATAGTCTAGTCCTATAGTCTAGTCTATAGTCTAGTCTATAGTCTGTCTATAGTCTAGTCTATAGTCTAGTCTATTGTCTCGTCTATGTCTAGTCTATAGTCTAGTCTATAGTCTAGTCTATAGTCTAGTCTATAGTCTAGTCTATAGTCTAGACTATAGTCTAGTCTATAGTCTAGTCTGTCTATAGTCTAGTCTGGTCTATAGTCTAGTCTATAGTCTAGTCTATAGTCTAGTCTAGTCTATAGTCTAGTCTATAGTCTAGGATATAGTCTAGTCTATAGTCTAGTCTATAGTCTAGTCTATAGTCTAGTCTATAGTCTAGTCTATAGTCTAGTCTATAGTCTAGTTTATAGTCTAGTCATAGTTCTAGTCTATAGTCTAGTCTATAGTCTACTCTATAGTCTACTCTATAGTTAGTCTATAGTTCGTCTATAGTCTAGGTCTATCGTCTAGTCTATAGTCTAGTCTATAGTCTAGTCTATAGTCTAGTCTATAGTCTAGTCTATAGTCTAGTCTATAGTCTAGTCTATAGTCTAGTCTATAGTCTAGTCTATAGTCTAGACTATAATATAGTCTATAGTCTAGTCTATAGTCTAGTTAATACTCTTGTCTATAGTCTAGTCTATAGTCTAGTCTATAGTCTAGTCTATAGTCTATTCTAGTCTATAGTCTAGTCTATAGTCTAGTCTATAGTCTATTCTAGTCTATAGTCTAGTCTATAGTCTTGTCTATAGCCTTGTCTAGTCTATAGTCTAGTCTATAGTCTAGTCTATAGTCTAGTCTAAAGTCTAGTCTAATCTAGTCTATAGTCTAGTCTATAGTCTAGTCTATAGTCTAGTCTAGAGTCTATTCTATAGTCTAGTCTATAGTCAAGTGTATAGTCTAGTATATAGTCTAGTCTATTGTCTAGTCTATTGTCTAGTCTATAGTCTAGTCTATAGTCTAGTCTATAGTCCAGTCTATAGTGTAGTCTATAGTGTAGTCTATAGCCTAGTCTATAGTCTAGTCTATAGTCTAGTCTATAGTCTAGTCTATAGTCTAGTCTAGTAGTCTATAGACTAGTCTATAGTCTAGTCTATAGTCTAGTTTATAGTCTAGTCTATAGTCTAGTCTATAGTCTAGTCTATAGTCTAGTCTATAGTCTAGTGTACAGTCTAGTTTATAGTCTAGTTCATAGTGTCTAGTCTATGGTCTAGTCTATAGTCTAGTCTAGTCTATAGTCTAGTCTATAGTCTATTCTAGTCTATAGTCTAGTCTATAGTCTATCCTAGTCTATAGTCTAGTCTATAGTCTTGTCTAGTCTATAGTCTAGGCTATAGTCTAGTCTATAGTCTAGTCTATATATAGACTAGTTTATATTCAAGTCTAAAGTCTACTTTCAAAATTTTCAATTTTCCATACCTGAGGTCTATTCACACACCTGTTTGTCTCTCTGTAGCTACATAGTCTGTTTTGTAAGTAGTGTTAACCGTTATTTAATCTTAGCCGTTTATAAGTGTAAACTTGTTTACATGTTAAATATCTATGTTAAATCTCCTAATTTGTAATTAGTACCTGTTTTTAGAAATTCTTTAAAAAAATATAATGCGGAAGAAATTCCTTTTTCTAATCTCCTCTCTCTCTCTCTCTCTTTCGCTTTACTAAATAAACTACTAAGAATGCGCTTAAACTTTAAAGTTATAGTGAGTTTTATAGCTATAAGGTCATGACACTGTTTATATGGGGTTTGGTTTTACAGGCGGAAAAGAAAATTATAAAAATGTTTTATTTTGTTTCTAAACTGTTTATGTGTAAAGTAAAGCTTCCCATAAAACACTGCTCTCACCTACCTTGTACGCTATGGTTATTTTCCAAATAAAAACATTGATTATTGTTTTTTAATGTAAGTATTTTTTTATTTAATATATTGAATATTTTTTTTTCTTTAATAAATGTATTTTTGTTAGAATAATTTTGAATTACATTTTTATTTTAAATTTTCCTGTTTAAATCTAATTCTGAAGAATAGCAATTTATTTTTTATAATTTTTTTTATCATTTTCCGCAAATGGTATATTTTAAATATTATAAATTTTTTATTTGCGTTTATATTTAAAAAAGTAAACTAAAAGAAATACGTACATATGTTTGAAAAAAATAAAAGACATACTTAAATAAGAAAAAAAAAAAAAAAGAAGTGATTAAAAGCAAATTATTAAACAAAATTTTACAAAAATCTATAGAGTGGATAAAATTTTAAACCAATTATTTTAAGAATAAATATGTTAAAAATGAAATAAAGGGGGGACAAGCAAAAATATTTAACAACTAAATCAAGAAAAACTGAAAACCCAATGTTTAAAATATGTAAATATAGAAACATGTTTAAGCTTCTTTTTCTTTAATCATGATGAGTTTGCAAAGAGAATACCACTCCGAGTGGTAGCTAATCCATATCGTCATCATCATCATCCGATATGGTGTATTTCTTTTGAGAACGTTTGCGTCTTGTTTGCTTTTTACTAGTCGAAGCACTTACTGGGGGTGCGGACGAGGGTGTGGGAGTGGTGGGTGTGCTGGCTATGGTTTTATTAAGTTTAAGTTTCATTTTAACGGCAGCCGCTGAGGTGGAGGCTATTTCTTCATCATCAGAATTATCTTGACCAGAATTATCTTCATTTTCTGAGTTATCCGATGCATTGCCACCTTCACCGGTGATGGAGGAATTTTGTGAAGCTTGTGCTTGTATGCGTTGTTTGGCATTCACAAACACTTTCTCCAACTCTATGGAATCTAGATAAATTAAAGAATTCTCCTCATTGTAAATTTGGGCATTTTGACATAGTTGCACGAAATCCTTTTGTAAATCATCCAAGTCGGCATATTTACAATCTTCTATGCGCTGCAAGATTTTCTTTATATCCACCGGTCTTTTAATGATTTCATAATAATCTGGCAGACGCTGTCGGGAGGGTAGTTTCATAAAAGGTTCCGATATAATGCGACCATCTTCGTGGGTGTATTTTATGACAGCCGACATTATTTTACCCATTTGTTTCTTAAGTTTTTTGTCGATATTTTGACGACGTCTTCGTTTAATTGAATGACCCGCCAGAGATTCATCATCCGAATCATCTATTTACGGATTTTATACGTTTACGTCTCTTGCGTTTAGCTTCTTCCTCCTCGTCTTCATCATCAAATTCGGCGCCATCATCAATGGCTCGTAATTAGGTTCTTTCTCGGTAAGACTATCGGTGTATCGACTTCCTTTGCGTGACGGGAACCGCGACCTATAAAAAGGGAAAAAGAAATATGTAATTACCTGGAACTAGAAACGAACTACAACTGAACTTGAACTGTGCTGGAACTTAACTAAACACTAAAACTGAACTTGAACTGAACTAGAACTGAAATTAGAACTGAACTGAACTTAACTAGAACTGAACTAGAACCTGAACTAGACGAACTAGACTGAACTAGACGAACTGCTAACTACTAGAACTGAACTAAACTGAACTAGACTAACTAGAACTGAACTAGAACTGAACTAGAACTGAACTAGAACTGAACTAGAACTGAACTAGAACTGAACTAGAACTGAACTAGAACTAAACTAGAACTGAACTAGACTGAACTAGAACTGAACTAGAACTGAACTAGAACTGACTAGAACTGAACTAGAACTGAACTAGACTGAACTAGAACTGAACTAGAACTGAACTAGAACTGAACTAGAACTGAACTAGAACTGAACTAGACTGAACTAGAACTGAACTAGAACTGAACTAGAACTGACTAGAACTGAACTAGAACTGAACTAGAACTGAACTAGAACTGAACTAGAACTGAACTAGAACTGACTAGAACTGAACTAGAACTGAACTAGAACTGAACTAGAACTAATGAACTAGAACTGAACTAGAACTGAACTGAACTAGAACTGAACTAGAACTACTAGAACTAGAACTGAACTAGAACTGAACTAGAACTGAAACTAGAACTGAACTAGAATCGAACTAGACTGACTGAACTAGAACTGAACTAGAACTGAACTAGAACTGAACTAGAACTGAACTAGAACTGAACTAGAACTGAACTAGAACTGAACTAGAACTGAACTAGAACTGAACTAGAACTGAACTAGAACTGAACTAGAACTGAACTAGAACTGAACTAGAACTGAACTAGAACTGAACTAGAACTGAACTAGAACTGAACTAGAACTGAACTAGAACTGAACTAGAAACTAGAACTGAACTAGAACTGAACTAGAACTGAACTAGAACTGAAATAGAACTGAAATAGAAAGAACTAGAACTGAACTAGAACTGAACTAGAACTGAACTAGAACTGAACTAGAACTGAACTAGAACTGAACTAGAACTGAACTAGAACTGAACTAGAACTGAACTAGAACTGAACTAGAACTGAACTAGAACTGAACTAGAACTGAACTAGAACTGAACTAGAACTGAACTAGAACTGAACTAGAACTGAACTAGAACTGAACTAGAACTGAACTAGAACTGAACTAGAACTGAACTAGAACTGAACTAGAACTGAACTAGAACTGAACTAGAACTGTACTAGAACTGAACTGAACTAGAACTGAACTAGAACTGAAATGAACTAGAACTGAACTAGAACTGAACTGAACTAGAACTGAACTAGAACTGAACTAGAACTGAACTAGAACTGAACTAGAACTGAACTAGAATTGAACTAGAACTGAACTAGAACTGAACTAGAACTGAACTAGAACTGAACTAGAACTGAACTAGAACTGAACTAGAACTGAACTAGAACTGAACTAGAACTGAACTAGAACTGAACTAGAACTGAACTAGAACTAGAACTGAACTAGAACTGAACTAGAACTGAACTAGAACTGAACTAGAACTGAACTAGAACTGAACTAGAACTGAACTAGAACTGAACTAGAACTGAACTAGAACTGAACTAGAACTGAACTAGAACTGAACTAGAACTGAACTAGAACTGAACTAGAACTGAAATAGAACTGAACTAGAACTGAACATAAACTGAAACTGAACTAGAACTGAACATGAACTGAAACTGAACTTAAATAGAACTTTGTGAACTATTCCATTTTGTACATCTGAAGAATATTTCCACTTACCCAAAATAATGTCCTCCTCATAAGTATGCCAACGTTCCACCTCATCATCGTCCTTGGTCAACCAATCGGGCAACTCAGATTCATCGATTAAACGTTCTCTGCCAGGATGCAAACGTTCATCCTCTTTCTTACGCTCAATATCCATCTTTTTAAACAACTCAATTTCCTCTTCACTACGGCCAATCATCATATTGACCATTTCATCATCAGGCACCTCATTTTCTTCTTCCTCATCGGCATCATCAGCATGTAGAATGGTTTGCAAGAACTGTTGACGTTCACTGCCCGTAGACTTCTGATCGAACATACCGGCCTGAATAACCTTTTCGTCCATATTCAACTTATAACGTGCGGCAGCTAAAATACGTTCTTCCACAGAATTCACTGTCATAAGACGCAAGACACGCACCTCATTACGCTGACCAATACGATGGGCACGATCCTGAGCTTGTAAATCTTGATGAGGATTCCAATCGGAATCGAAAATCACCACAGTATCGGCTGTTTGTAAATTCAAACCTAAACCACCGGCTCGAGTGGAAAGCAAGAAAACGAAATAATCCGAATCCTTGGCATTGAATTTGCGCAAAAGTTCACCACGATCTTCAGCCTTGGTGGTACCATCCAAACGTAAGTAACCAAATTGACGCCAGCTCAAATAATCCTCAATTATAGTCATGCACTGTGTCATTTGACAGAAGAGCAATACTCTGTGATTAGTGGCCTTAAGTTTGGGTAAAATACGATCTAGCAATTCAAATTTACCCGATACACGATAGAGATCGGGACCCGAAACCATGCCGTGAACACCGGTATGATCACTGAACTTTTCCTCAATATGCTGGAACATAAATGGATGATTACACAGCTTACGCAATTGTACAATTGTGTTCATAAGAGCCTTAGCACCACCCTTGCCCTGTTTACCCTTTTCGGAACCATCGGTTAGTAAAACACCCTTGCTTTGCATGTGTTTATAGAGAACTCTTTGCAAACCGGACATGTCACACTTGATAATGTATTCCACCTTATCGGGCAATTGATGTTCGACTTCTTTCTTCAAACGTCTCAGCAAGAAGGGACGCAATACTTTGTGCAAACGTCTAATAATCAAAATGGTTTCCTCTTCATTCAATTCGACCTTTTCACCGGTAGTGGCAAAGGGAGCATTAAACCATTGCTCGAAGGTGGAGCAGGATTTGAAAATAGAGGGTAACAAGAAATTCAATAGAGCCCACAACTCGGGCAATTTATTTTGCAAGGGAGTACCGGTCAACAGTAAACGATAGGGCGCTATATAGTGAGTATTCAAAACTTGTGTCAGTTTGCAATGATGATTTTTCATACGATGACCTTCATCGATAATCATGTATTTCCATTGTATTTTGGCCAATACCGCTTTATCTTTAATAACGTATTCATAAGTGGTGAGCAAAACATTGAATTTAGTGGCGCGCATTTGATTCTGCAAAAGTCGGCGGCCCTGGGGAGAACCCTTATAACTGACTACACCCACCGAGGGAGCCCATTTTTCAAATTCCAACACCCAATTGGGTAGAGTAGAAAGGGGAACAATAATCAAAAAAGGACCCATAACCTTTTTGCGATCCATTAAATAGGTAACCAAAGAAATGGTTTGTATAGTTTTACCCAGACCCATTTCATCAGCCAAGATGCCATTCAAATTATTGTTGTACAAAGAAACCAACCATTCTAGACCCTTCAACTGGTATTCCTTTAATTTACCATTAACCATAATACTGGCCTGTTCGGTAACCTTTTCGTGTATAGTATGGGCAATACTGTAATAGGTTTGCTCCTCGGTACGATATTCATCATCCTCAACTTTGACCTTTTTAATGAAAGCCGAAGGATCTTCAATAAGGGCATTTTCTTCATTCTTTTCATCACCCTCTTTAGCATTTTCTTCTCCCTCCTGTTTCTCCTTTTCTTCTTGATTTTTCTCTTCCTCATTAACGGCATTATCATCATCTTCCACCCAATCCCAACCGGGATGTTGTTCTAGCCATCTGTGTAAATGTTTCAGTACAGGACCATCTTCTCCGGTCAATTTCTTGCCAGTGCTTTGTTCCATCACAGTGACATGCAAATCAGCCGCTACACTACTATCATCAATATTTATGTATTCTCCACTCACTAACAGCTCCTTCTTGTATTGCAGCAAACGTTTCTGTTCATCTTCTTTCTTCTTCATTTGATCGTCCTTGTGCTGCTTCACCATCTGTGTGAGATTGCTAATGTATTCATCGGTTTGTGAGAGCAGGAATGCCAAACGTTTATCTTTCTTTTGATCGATAAGCTTACGATAACCCTCTTCATCCTCGGCCATCAAACGACGCATACGTTCCTTTTCTATACGCTCTTGTTCCTTCTTCTGTTCACGTTCTGCATTGGCATGATAGTTCATAATGGCCTTATTCATTCTAGCCAACTGTGCCTTATTATTACGATGGTATTCCTTGAAATCTTTGCCATGTTGTAAGACGGCGGCAAGAAATTCTTGATGTTTTTGCCGACGTTTACGTTCCGCCTCCAATTTCTGTTGTTTCTCGAGTTTTTCGGTAGCACGTGCCTCACGCAAACCTTGTCTTTTAGTTCTCTTATAGGCTTTAATATTAACCGCTGTTTCTAGGGTAGTGTCGCGTCTAGTGCACTGTACTATTTCGGTTCTTAGTTGTCGTTGAAAGTTAAGCACTCGTAGGGCTCTTAGTTCTATAGCGGCTTGTAATCTTAAATCTTCTGGCATTGTAGCGGGCAAACGCTGCAGTTCTTGCATTCGTAGAGCAATGCGTGAAGCTATACGATTTTCTCTTTCCTGCAATAAGACTATGGGATCTAAACCTTGAGGTTTTGCTACGGTAGTAATGCGATTTGGTTTAGGCATGGGTTGTTGAGGTGGTGGAGCTCCTGGTTTAGGCACTCCTTGAGGTGGCATGCCTGCCGGGCCGGGTGGTCGTATACCTTGGGCTGCCATGGTGGCGGGCATGGGAGAAGATATAGGTGGCTGTCCTCCTCCCATCATGGGTGGTCCTGGTGGTTTACCTCCATTAGGCATTTGATGCATATCTTGTGGTAGAGGTCCGGGAGGTCCAGTTTGAGGACCACCTATTGGCCCTATTTGTCCGGGTGGCATTTGTTGTTGCTGCTGCACATGTGGTGGTGGTTGCATTTTGCCTGCACCTGGTGGTTGGCCATAGGGCGAAGCTGGTGGTGTAGGACATTGTGGTGGTGTGCCAGTTTGTCCTGGTTGTTGGGGTCCCGGAGGACCAGGTGCTGGTCCGGGTACTCCTGGATGCCCTGGTATGGTAGGTCCAGGAGGACCTTGTTGCTGCTGTTGTTGTTGGGCTGCCTGTTGAAATGCTTGTTGCATTTGCATGGAAATGGGTTTATTACGTGCCAATAGACGATAAGCTGTAATTTGGGTCCTCAACATGTTGATCTGATTGCTAGTTAAATGTTGATGTTTAGAGGTGGCGCGTATGGCGAGCAGTTGGGTGTAGCGAGGATCTTCTTGCAAACCCTTCTCCTCCATAGTGTCAATAGCTCGTTGCAAAGCATGTAAGTTTTCTTGGCCAGCACGTTCGGGTGGTCCAGGGGGACCTTGTCCGGGACCAGTTGGGGGACCCTAGAAAGTGATAAAAAGAAGATAAAGACTAAATCTTATAAACTTATAACAGGAATTCATAAAATTCCAGATCTGTATTAAAAACTTTTCCATTCCATACATTTTCTTAGGCGATAATCCCTGTATAATCGCTTCTTTGCCATAAATATAACCGAGATCTTTGTCCAATATTACCGCAGTACAATCCTTACCTTCAACATCACAATTTATTTACTTTTTATTAAAAAAACAACCTGCATTAGCTCATTCTTTATTGTCATAGTCAATAGAATTATAATTTTATTAATATGTACCCCAGACTAAACAAAGAAAACTGCATCAAAATTTAAATTTCTATTGTAAATCTCCATAATAAAAATGCTGATGAAATTGCATATAAACATGCAATAATAACATTCTGCTTATCTTTAGTATTTAAGTATTTTATCATCCTAAAAACAAATTAATAAGTAATTAAGAGAAAAAAACATAAAAGTCATTAAGAATTCAAATAAGATTCACAATTTCAAACAATATCTCCAAATCCTGTAAATTTCTACAAATTGTTACTAGAAACATTTGTTACTTAAAAGTTTTTACTGGTAACATGTTTAGTTTTAATACATTTGAGGATTTGTAGGAATAATAGTTTAAGTTATTTTACTCTCTCTCCATTTTACAACGATTAAAAATTTGTAACTATAAAAAGTATAAGAACATTTTGTTCATACAGAAAAAATGGTTAAAAAAATAGATGCTTGTGTTTAAAAAAATTATCAAAGAAGCTTCACAGCAAACATGTTGTAGATAAGAGATATTTAAAATTGTCTAACAGAGACGTAGCTATACAAAATATTCAAAAGCTGGAAGAAAGATATTCAATGATAAAAAGTATAAAAATATATTTAAAACACTTTCAAAGATATTGTTTGAAGATCTCTGAATTATTTGTCATTAGATAGGAGGAAACAGTCGATCTAATATCACAACTTATTGAAAGACGACATCTGAATTTTAGTACAGTTCCAGTTCCAGTTCTAGTACAGTTCTAGTTCAGTTCTAGTTCAGTTCTAGTTCTGTTCTAGTTCTGTTATAGTTCTGTTCTAGTTCTGTTCTAGTTCTGTTCTAGTTCTGTTCTAGTTCTGTTCTAGTTCTGTTCTAGTTCTGTTCTAGTTCTGTTCTAGTTCTGTTCTAGTTCTGTTCTAGTTCTGTTCTAGTTCTGTTCTAGTTCTGTTCTAGTTCTGTTCTAGTTCAGTTCTAGTTCTGTTCTAGTTCTGTTCTAGTTCTGTTCTAGTTCTGTTCTAGTTCAGTTCTAGTTCAGTTCTAGTTCTGTTCTAGTTCTGTTCTAGTTCTGTTCTAGTTCTGTTCTATTTCTGTTCTAGTTTTGTTCTAGTTCTGTTCTAGTTCTGTTCTAGTTCTGTTCTAGTTCTGTTCTAGTTCTGTTCTAGTTCTGTTCTAGTTCTATTCTAGTTCTGTTCTAGTTCTGTTCTAGTTCTGTTCTAGTTCTGTTCTAGTTCTGTTCTAGTTCTGTTCTAGTTCTGTTCTAGTTCTGTTCTAGTTCTGTTCTAGTTCTGTTCTAGTTCTGTTCTAGTTCTGTTCTAGTTCTGTTCTAGTTCTGTTCTAGTTCTGTTCTACTTATGTTCTAGTTCTGTTCTAGTTCTGTTCTAGTTCTGTTCTAGTTCTGTTCTAGTTCTGTTCTAGTTCTGTTCTAGTTCTGTTCTAGTTCTGTTCTAGTTCTGTTCTAGTTCTGTTCTAGTTCTGTTCTAGTTCTGTTCTAGTTCTGTTCTAGTTCTGTTCTAGTTCTGTTCTAGTTCTGTTCTAGTTCTGTTCTAGTTCTGTTCTAGTTCTGTTCTAGTTCTGTTCTAGTTCTGTTCTAGTTCAGTTCTAGTTCAGTTCTAGTTCAGTTCTAGTTCAGTTCTAGTTCAGTTCTAGTTCAGTTCTAGTTCAGTTCTAGTTCAGTTCTAGTTCAGTTCTAGTTCAGTTCTAGTTCAGTTCTAGTTCAGTTCTAGTTCAGTTCTAGTTCAGTTCTAGTTCAGTTCTAGTTCAGTTCTAGTTCAGTTCTAGTTCAGTTCTAGTTCAGTTCTAGTTCAGTTCTAGTTCAGTTCTAGTTCAGTTCTAGTTCAGTTCTAGTTCAGTTCTAGTTCTAGTTCTAGTTCTGTTCTAGTTCTATTCTAGTTCTATTTAGTTCTGTTCTAGTTCTGTTCTAGTTCTGTTCTAGTTCTGTTCTAGTTCTGTTCTAGTTCTGTTCTAGTTCTGTTCTAGTTCTGTTCTAGTTCTAGTTCTGTTCTAGTTCTGTTCTAGTTCTGTTCTAGTTCTGTTCTGTTCTAGTTCTAGTTTTGTTCTAGTTCTGTTCTAGTTCTGTTCTAGTTCTGTTCTAGTTCTGTTCTAGTTCTGTTCTAGTTCTGTTCTAGTTCTGTTCTAGTTCTATTCCAGTTCTATTCTATTCTAGTTCTGTTCTAGTTCTGTTCTAGTTTTGTTCTAGTTATGTTCTAGTTCTGTTCTAGTTCTGTTCTAGTTCATTAGTTATAGTCCGTCATTTTGATTTCCCCAATCAACGCCCCTGCCTAACCAAATCAAAATGGTATGTTTCTTCTCTGTAATCTCAGCTATAGTTCTTTCTACATTTGTACGTTTAAGATATACAAAACAAGAGAGCAAGCATAGACACTTGCAACTGAGAAGAATAGACAAACAATGTCTGTATGAAAACAGACAGAAACTGAAATATAAATGTTAATAAACCCGTTTTGGTACTAAGAACAAAAAATATAAAATTTTTTTAATTGAAAACTTGTCAGTGTTTACAAAACATCTAACAGCAACAGTAGCAATTATTAAAATCAAGTGAGTTTAATTAGAAGAAAAAAATCAAAAACTAAACTGTGTTAATAAATTTGAAATTGTTTAAGTAATAACGATTTAATTTTATGAAAGTTTAACATGGCCTCCAAAGAGCTTATAGATGAACTATACGATTTCATTTATCCATTGGCCCTCAAGGCGGGCGAAATTTTAATGGAAGGCTATAATTTGAATAGCAAAAAAGTGGATATTAAAACAGATTTCTATGATGTGGTCACCGATTACGATAATCGTATAGAGGATTTTTTATGGTCTGAAATTTTGAAAAAATATCCTGAACATAAATTTATAGGAGAAGAAGATACAGCCAAAAATAATAATATAACCAAAGAGCTAACAAATGCTCCCACTTGGATAATAGATCCCATAGATGGTACTTCTAACTTTATAGCACAAATACCGCATACTTGTGTTTCTATAGGTTTATCTATTAATAAGGAAATTGTTTTGGGTGTAGTTAACGTGGCGCCTCAAAACAAAATCTATACCACAAAACTGGGCCAGGGAGCTTTCTGTAATGGTCAGCCTATATCTGTGAGCAAATGTGAAAAGGTTAATTACATTTTCATTATGTTGTTTTTGGCAAAAAAGATTAATATCTTCTTTATTTAGATGAACGATGCCAATGTGAGTTATGAAGTATCATTACTTCATGCTAAAAAAATTCGCAATAAACACATTAAACGTATATATTATATAGCTTCCCAAGCTAGAAGGTAAGTTAAAATTAAAATTATTCACAAGCAAAATCTATTGTTATGTTATAGTCTTGTTTTGTCATAATTATCATTAAAAACAAGTTAGTGTCTTTTTAAGTCTACAATAAAAAGTTTTGAACAAAATTTTAAATTCTTTAAAGAATTTGAAAAATAGAATACTAAAAAATTGGAAAAGAATATATTTTTTTTTTTCTTAAATAAATAAACAAATTTAACAGATTTCTTCTTAAAGACCGAACAATACCAAAATAAAATAATACTCAATATTTTTAGATGAGAAACTATCTAAATAACTTTATGACTCAGTTATTTTGTTTAAATTAAAAATAAAAAACGTTTCGAGGGCTGAATAAACAGTCAGTGATAAACAAATATCAATTCTCGTTCTGTGTTGGATTAATTCTTGTTCAGTTCTAATTTAGTATTAGTTCAGTTTTAGTTTAGTTCTACTTCTAGTTCAATTCTAGTTCTAGTTCAGTTCTATTTCAGTTCTATTTCAGTTCTAGTTCAGTTCTAGTTCAGTTCTAGTTCAGTTCTAGTTCAGTTCTAATTCAGTTCTAGTTCAGTTCT